TTTCAAGATGACTTGGATAATAGCGCGTTGTGACAAACACCAGATACAGCACTGGGACTTGATCAACAGCCGATACCGCACCGTGACGTCACAAACCAGTAGGTGGCAGTAGTGTTCTTTGACAAACATGGATGCCTCCAGTAAAGCACATTCAGATGAAAATTACTCTGAATTAAAAACACTTATCAATTATTGAACAGTATGGAATAATTTAATATTTAAAGTACTTTCAGAAGTTTGAATTCTGAATATGAGCGGACTTTTCCTTTAAAAATGGGCTGTTCCTGTTGAGGCAGCAGCAGGATTTCTGTACCACACAGCGGGTACCTGGAGGTCCAGCTTCCATTAACCCACTGGGTTCCTATAGAGGAGGAAAGTTGATTTGAATGTTTTTGTGCTCTGGATGAGTTAAAAGAATATGATATAAAATTGTTCATATTTCTGTATTTATTTATCCTCACTTCAATCCTTCCTTTCTTCCTTTGCTCCTTCTCAGGGTCCTTCCTTCAGTTCTTTGCGTCTTAGGCTGTCTTTTCTGTTGGTCTTTAGTTCCTTCTCCCCTTTCCTTCTCCGAACTCTATATTTCAGACCCACCAGCTAAAGTCTCATTCTGTGTTTTTATTTTATTTACCGTACAGGAATTTGATCCAGAGGAGTTCTACCAGCGTTTGGAAGCTGCAGAGGGCCAAGCCAAAGTAGGCCATGGCATCAAGACCGACCTTCCTAGATACATCATCAGCCAACTGGGCCTCACCAGAGATCCACTGGAAGGTGCAGTGAAACCATAATCATGGTTTTTATATTATTATCCACTTATTATGGCATCGTTAAACTTCCACAAATGACAATCTGAAGATTAAACGTCACAAATTCGCAGTGGTAACGGGTTGGAAAATTATTTATTGTATTAATTGTCCAGAAGAGAGAAGCCAACTGTAATGCCAATCAGCTAATGCAGGAGTGACTGCGAGAAAACATCAGAAGTAGGTTCAACCACAGAGTCCAGGGGTTTAAACAAAAGACAAACAGATAGGAATTATAGTGAAGAATCATATATTCAATGTATATAAGGTAGAAACTAGGGGTGGAACGGTTCACAAAATCCACGGTTCAGTTCGGTTCACGGTTTCGTGGTCACGCTTTTTGGTTCCGTTCGGTATATGTTGATTGTTAGCCTGACATGTTGGTCATGTTCCTGTTAGGATAAACAAAACGTGTTGCACAATGCTTGCACACTGTTGCACTTTTATCCACAACTTTCTTTCCGCCGTCATCGTAGGTCACTCTAAATGCAAAGTGGTCCCATACAGCAGACCTATAAAGTGCTGCTGGCGCGTCTTCCAACTCCTGTTCTTTCCCACTCGCCATACCCACACAATTCTCCACAACAACTGATTTTTTTCTGCTACACCCGGCTACGCTGCTTCGCTTCTTCTTCTTGTTTCCTACTGGTGGTTGGCTTTGGTCGCAGTACCGCCACCTGCTGCTCTGGAGTGTAAACGCTTCGCCTATGAGAAAAAGGAGCAGCGCATGAACCGAACGCAACACACGCGAACTGAACCGAGACAGTCGAACCGAACGGTTCGGACGGTTTTCAAAAACTGTTCCATCCCTAGTAGAAACATTATCTGCATATATGTTCCAGAGCTATATAATAATAATTTACAGCGATATGTGTATATTTATATAAGAAATGATATGCAAAAGAATTAAAAGATATAATTAAGTTAAGCAGTCAAAAATAATTTTTTTTCCAAGTCATTTTTTCACTATGTCATTCGTTCACTTATAAAAAATCTTATATTATTAAATAAATATTTAGTTTGGAGTTAACATAAAAAAAATTGTCCCACTACTGGAGAATCTGCCCGAAAAGGCCAAAATTTCATACAGCGTATACCCGGCTTAAACTAAGCAGGCGCTATGCTGTCAGTCCCATGCTTCTTCAGCAGGGGGCGATCTCTATCCACTCTCTTCCTTCACACTGAGCTGCTCACATGTGCATGAAACCCTGAATAGAACCTGAAGCCATTTGTCCTCCGGTCCTGCAGAGGTGGTCCACTTGGAGCAGACCAGCCCGTGTCAGAGATCAGCCAGCAGGGAGTCCGATGACTCTGGAGAGGCAACACCTGTGCAGGTTTGTTCTCTCCTGAGTCGTTTCTGCAGAGACGTGATGAGCCTTTACATGACTGGTCGACATTAATAATACTTTAAGACAAACAAAGCAGCTGATTGGGTTTGTTCTTTCTTTTCTGGATGCAGAGCCGAGCAGCTTCCACCCCTCCTTGTCGAAAACCACGCGAGAGTGACTTTGAAACCATAAAGCTAATCAGCAACGGCGCCTATGGGTGAGTAATTCTCTCTCATAAATCTTACCCTTCCTTGATTTAGTGAATGTATCTTTTTTGCTTTGTTGTTAAATCCGGGTCTATCTTTTTGCCGCCACGCAGAGCCGTGTACCTGGTGCGACACAAAGAGACCCGCCAACGCTTCGCCATGAAGCAGATCAACAGACAGAACCTGATCCTCAGGAACCAGATCCAGCAGGTGTTTGTGGAACGAGACATTCTCACGTTTGCTGAAAACCCGTTTGTGGTCTCCATGTTCTGCTCCTTTGAGACCAGGAGGCACCTCTGCATGGTCATGGAGTATGTAGAAGGTAACTATGAACAGCAGGGCAGGTTTTCACCTTCTCACTAATTGTCTCATCACCACCACAGACTTAAGCGGATCCTGTTGGGATTTACTAAAACAAAGTAGTGAAAATTGTTTTGGTTTCCCTTCAGTCCCAACAGTAAGTCCTTTGCCGTTTTCTTCACCAGTTTTCATGTTGACACAGACATTTAGGCCCAGTCTAAGATTATTCCTCCTGATGAGCACATGGAGACTGTAGATATCCGTTTGCATTGTGTTGTCGACTCCTCAATCCCTCACCGAATGCTGCAGCGACAGTGGGGAGAAAAGGTCTCCCTTTTGACAGGAAGAAACGTCCAGCAGAAACAGGCTCAGTGGGTGCAGCCCTCTGCTGAAGCCGACTGGGATTCAAGGAGACAGAAGCAGACCCACAAAAGAAACAGAGAAGCCCTAATCCAGGGGTGCCCAACCAGTCGATCGCGATCTACCAGTCGATCGTGGGCGGAGTTTCAGTCGATTGTGAGAAGTTTTACAATGTAGACCTATTTATGGCTATGACAAAAAACAAAAACAAAAAAAAGTTTTTAAAAACACTAATCAAATCATTGATCATGAGAGGCCAACGTCTATTTTCATAATAAAATGAAAAGTAAAAAGTATGCAGGGAACCTTTTTTTCTGCATGCAGATTGCTGGGCATGGTTTGCCACGGTTGCTAGGTTACCAGGGACTCTAAAGCGCGAAGAGGAATCTGCAGAGATAATGACATCTATCACAACTGATGGGGCTCCATCTATGGTTGGGCGCACTGCTGGATTTGTTGCTCTGTTCAAGCTGTCTGAAACTTTCCCGGATTTTTGGATCAACCACTGCATCATTCAGCAACAGCTGTGTGGCAGTATTTTAAATATGAAGCATGTCATGAGTGTTGCGATGAAGATCGCATGCTCTGTTCGGGCCGGGAGTTTTCAGAGGCGTTTATTCCGCCCAGCTGGAGGAGGCAGGTGGAGACCACACTGATCTGCTGCTGCACACCGACGCCAGGCGGCTGAACAGCAGCAGATTCTTCTAAAGATTTTTGGAACTGTTTTGTTCTTCGATTCTATATAGAACAGACGAGGCGTGTAAACTTGTTCTGTATATTTATTTCCAAACTTTCACAGAACCTTTCAGTAGCAAGCTACATTCAGACCTTCCCTCTCGCTCTAGCCTCCAACCCGTGACGCCATGCGCCCCATTGCATGCTGGGTATTGGAGTTCAAGAGCTTTCCGGCTCATAACATCACAGGAACTTTTGCCCAAAATTAAAGAAACGGTCAACAACCCATTCTGCTGTATGTTACATCTTCACATCCACATAGTTTGTTCTTAGTATCTTTTTAACTGTTTTCCTGTTGAATTTTAATCCATCTGCCAGTTTCTCTGCCAACGCCAATGCCCATAATTTTTATTATGATTTATTTTTGTAATCTAAATAAAACATTAAAATTGACCTTTTTTTTTTTTTATTTAAAAGAAATAACAGCTCGCCATTATTGGTTCGTCCCGATAGCGGAACCAATAAAAGCGTTGTTGCTGCCGGGACATTTGGGAGATGCACCATTAACTTTTTGTCTGGAAAATCTGAGCAAGTGTAAATGTAACCAAAATTGTCTCCAGCCAAGAGTTTCCTCCATGGCTAAAACCAGGGAACATACATGAGGCTCAGTGGATTTAGTGCAAGAAGTCATTCAAGCTCAGAACGATGGGAATTAAGGCAGTGGGGTTGCACATGCTAAACGC